TGATCATCCTCACGATGCCACTGGTGCTGCTGGGTTCGGTACCCCTACAGCTGGTGACTGGCCAGATGTTGCTGATCCAGCAATGACTCCCCAAGTCGCAATAAGAATTCCGTATTACCTTTCTAGAAAAGTAACAAACAGAGGCGTAAGAGGAGGACTCGCCTGTATTGTGCATATCGTGTTAGCAGTGGTTAAACGTGGGACAGTTTCCACAGCATCTGTCTCTAAAGTAAGTCGTGGGATAACAGATGATATTGGCAAAGTGGTCGAAATAAATACAGCTGTGCTTCCCATGATTTATAAGGTGTACGGGACACTCATAGATGATACCAATATACGCGAAATATTTACGCGTTGGGGCGGACAAATTCCAGATATAGCCCAACGACTACGTTTAATAGTACAGCAGGCTGCTAGAGGAGGATTAACTTGTTATTTCACAATCGTGAAAGCAATAAGAGATAACCCAGATTTCTGCTGGGGAAGAATCAGCCTCATGCTCAAGGATGACTGGAATAAATTCCAACTCGCATATAATATTGTAGGCAACAACATGTATTATGGATTCAGGAAGGATCTTGGACCAGCAAAGTCTACCATGTTTAAGAATTTAGGGTATGTGGCAAAACTCCGTGTAAAAATACAAGGAGAGGTTGCTCTTAATAGATACGCAGGTTGGGTATCACGTATCCCAAATCAGGCTACTATAGATGGATTGATTGCCGATTATGAGACTAAAAGGGGAAATGAGGTCACAGAGGCAGAAGGCGACGCCAAAAGGAAAACCGGGGATAGTTCATTTCAACCGTTTGAGCCCATACCAAGGCGAAATAGAAGATCGTGCTGGGACCGTGAGAACCTGCAGCTTTGATCCCCCTGATTCGGAGATGTTCTTTGATGATTTCATGGCCCGATACAACAGCAGTGAGAAGGCTCGCTATGGTGTAACCAAAGAAGAACCACGAGACCTCTTTTCCGTGCCTCCTAATTATTCGCTCGCTCACTGTGTGGCCCGAGATTTGCGGATGTCCAGAGGAATCGCTGCGACGTTCAATGAGAAGTTTGGGCGTGTCGGAGAACTACGCCGACAGGATCCAAAGGTTGGAAGCGTCTTGAGGCTAACCGACAATGCACATGGTCAAGCAAGACACATCTTCTACCTGGTCACCAAGGAATGGTCCCCGAGTAAGCCGACTTATCTCAATCTATGGAAGACCCTGATTGAACTGAGAGAAGCCCTGCTAAACAACAACGTTGCACGATTAGCCATTCCGAAGCTGGCGTGTGGACTCGATGGTTTGAGTTGGCGTACAATCCGGAACATGATTGAAGTCTTGTTCAGATTTACGGGAATCGAGATACTTGTTTGCTGCTACAACCCAAAGCTGAGATCGGGAGAGAAAACTGTAGACTGCTATTTCTACCAGACCTCGCAATGTACCAGGGGCCAGCTTTGCAAATACCTTCATTCACCGTGTACATCTCGGGACGAGCATGTACCTAAGAAGGGGGCAGTGTTGCGGACCCGTACCGTGTGAACTCGGCCTTAGGCTTCAGGCGCCTGCTATGACTCATACGCCCACCGACGTTCGAAGAACGAATAAGAATTTACTAGACAAGTCTGGACTGTCTGTTTCTCTCGTAGATAAGCCGATGCGCGAAACCTGAAGGAGATAGAGATAAATAACCGATCGACGCGTAGAGTTACAATCGCCGCGCTAATTCAAAATAAATTTCTGTTAGATAAATTGTACATAAGTTATAAATAGTTCTCTAAGTCTTTTAATCGTTATTGTTTTTGTTAATTAGTGTTAAATAAATTGTGTTTAAATAAATTGTGACTTTCTATCCACACAGAACCGACGAAAAACGTAACAATAATAAAAAATTCCAATAGTCAAACAGAGGTCAAAATTATAAAATACGATCACAAAACAAGTTAAAAAGTTTTTTTTAAAGGTTAAAAGGTTTTAAAGGTTAAAAGGTATCACAATAATTGTTCAATCACAATACATAACATACATAACAATATGGTAAGCTTAATTTGAAAACTAAAAACAACTAGACTAAAATCATAAGGTGAGGGGAGCCGTATAATCCACTATAATAAAATTCCACTAATTTAAATAAACACCTTAAAGTTTGTGAGTTATTTGTCCCCTTACCCGTGTTCAGAGGTTTTACTTTGATTTTTTTCTTATCGCGGAGAATAATATATAATAATTATATATATTTTGTTGATAAAAGAGTGGTTTTCTTACAATATGGATTCGATATTAATGCCTTTCAGTTTCGGTTTTGTTTAGGCAATACATGGACCGTCGCGGCGCGTTGTTGCCAATGCTAATTTTAGTAGGGGGAGAATAATTATCTGTAAACTAAACAAAACATGTGGTGTGCTATAGGAATTACCGATCTCCGATTTTACGTAACAACTACCTTTGCAAACCAATGTTGCCACCATCCTTTTATTGAGGATGTGTGCACTAATTTTCTAATTTAAAGACCACATTTAGCTCTTCAAGATGCTTAAGAGTATACCTGTGCTTCTATATTACATAACATTGTATATGAAACTACTCTTATATTAACAAAAAATTGTGTTTATTTTTTTTTGTATTTCAAAGTACTGAATTTTTCATCATTTGGCAACATGGAGTCCCAAGCGTCAGCCGTCGGACCTCTCGACAGTGTTCCGTTATTGTATCATATCGACAGTGACAACTCTGTGTGTGTTTATCTGATATAAGGCTGATTAACTACTGTGCAACATGACACAATCGTGCAGATACTCTGTGTCGATACCGGAAAAGGTGTCAGTGTTACTGTATCAACACACGAAAATTTATAGTGTTACCCATGACTACTTTGGACGCATTTCGAGACGAACAGATGGACTGGAAAAAATCATTATCGAATGGAAGATTAATGGCAAACGACCACGACGAAGATCTCCATCGCGCTGGGTGGAATAAACTAAAAAGATTATTGGGCACGGTCTGCAAGAGGCTTCTCTGACCGCTCAAAATAGAGGGGGATGGAAAAGAACGATCCGAGCAATTGAGACATGATGTCTCTATTAAGAGTTAATGGACGAGAAGAAAAAGAAAAAAAATCTTTAGACCACCCCAAAATGTGTTCACACCGAGACCAAATCCGCCTAGTTAAGTGACAAAACCTACATCTATGTCAATAAGCGTGTAAAATAGGAACTATTATAAATAGTGTGACAAAAAACTTTCCTTTTATTGAAAATTTAAGTCAAAATATTGCGAACGGCTACTCTTATATCGGAGGCGGTGGGAACAAGCTTTTGCTTCTGCACTTGGCTAAAAATATGATACCCACCTATACCTTACACTGCATACCAAAGGGCGCCACTTATTTCAAAAAGATGCTAATACTTACAAAGGATAGTACAAACTGAAATAAGAAAATTTGTATAAGTGTATTAATTGAATAGAAACTAAAATTAGTATAGCTATTAAATATTTTGAGAGACTGGATCAACCAATGAAACAATTCAAATAGCAAAAAAAAAAAAAAAGATTTATTGTTAATATTTCTATTCGGTACCTATTCGGCACAACAGTTATGTACATTAATATACAAGAATTATATTTAAGAAACTCTATCTTAAAACTTATTTAAAATCAAATTATATCTTTTCAAATATTATTCAAACAATTATAATATAAAAGGAATACTTTTAGAGACGGTCTTGGTTATATTCGAATAATAAATATTTAAATTTGACTTGACTTATTACAAAGATTCATGAACCTTTTTGTTTATATATAGTTAAGGGGAAAAAGATTAAAATCTGTACCCAAGATTGCCCTTACAGGTCAAAGATCGTAATGATATAAAAGGTTAACATAAATAGATGTTAAATCCGAATAATCAATCAATATAACATGGTAATTTAATAAACAAATACAAGTAAAATTTAAGCAATGCTGAAGGCAAATACTTAAAGTGTTAAAAAAATATATAAAATGTAACAGAAGTTAAATTTTATAAATTAAGGGTTAAAGTAATGCTGATGGCAAGTACTTAACCAGTTAAATGTAAAATGTTAAGAATAGCTAATTTCTTAACACACTAGTGATTATTTAAAATCAAATTAATAAAATTTTAGTTTACTATAAAAAATATACTGGCCATGTATACCAATTTATACTAAAAAAAAGGATCTTCTTAATAATACAAAAACATCACAGCATCCAACTTCTCCTCAGAGGGGCGCAGGGCTGAAATCCAACCGGCTGCTACTGATTACCTCGGATTGAAAAACTCGAAGAAAAACTGGTGGAAAAACTTGGCACAAACTTCTAGAAAAATATGCAGAACAACTTGCAGAAAAACGTCTAGAAAAATGTCTAGAAATACTTGAAGAAAAATCCAAAGAAAAACGTTGAGAAAAGTGCTGAGAAAAACCTAAAAAGAAATGCACGGTATAAGTTAACCTTACATTTAAAAAAACTTGAAAAATTTACGACAGTATTAATTTACCTCGTTGTGAAGGCACACAATCAATAATTTAACATTTCTTCTCAAATAAGGGCTGGACACTTCTTATCAAAAAAACCGGAATCTAAAAGAAAGGCATGTGAAGATTTTTAACATTGAAAATGTTTCTGTTATCCTATATAAGGGAGCCCAAATCGAATTAAAATGCTACATTTGCCACACCATGACGTCATATATATGTTACGCCGAATTTGTGTAACTGCCGATTTCATGAATTCGGCAAATTTTTGCCGAAGTCGCGAAATCGGCAACATCGTTGCGCATTTCATGTAATAGGCAATTATTAAATTTAACTTTGTCCATTTCAAGCAGTAAGCAAAGACCATCCTTGACTTTATAATATAGTCACAGATTTAAACTTTTTTTTTAAATAAAAAACATGTATCTATGTATCTACATTTTTATTTAATATAGGTACCTACATATCTAAATATTATTTAGTACTAATACCTAATGTTTATTAAATATTAAGTATTAGTACAACTTCTTCCAGCATGGCAAGCTGACTTACACATGAAACCAGCTTTTAGGCATTTGCACCTCATTGAGTTGCATGTTTTGGTGCAATTGCATCTTTTATATCCTTGTCCGGAACCCACTGAACTTTTACGAACAAGCATTCTAATATTGTGTTCATGATCAGGCACGTCGCTTAATTTTAATCTCTTAAATTTTGTAGGTTGCAGGGAATTTTTTTCTAACCAGTTATCCGCAATGCCATGTTTTGTACCAATTCTAAATTTTCCATCTTTTTCTGCTATAACCACACCAATTAGGTTAGCTGGATCGCCCCTTCCTCTGTCAAATTCACTAATGCCTAAAAATGTCAAAAAAAGAAAATTTTAGTAACCAAAATTTTACCAAGACGTTTGTTTTACCTAGAAGCACGTTATCTCCAACACTAAATGACCCAGGTTTTTTATTGGACAGATCAGTCATTTTCTAAGCCTGTTGTAAAATATTTCTGTAGGCGAGATTTCTTAAGTCAATAGCAGGATGATTTGTTTGATCGCTGACTATATCGGTGTTCAATGTTCTTTCTGAAAAAAGTTCTTGTAGAACTGTCACCTCATCCTCATTTTCTATGGGATTCTCAAGGAGCTGCAAAGAATTATAACTTATTTAACTATTTAATATAGCATAATGTCCTACTTACCTGATTGCTTAAAATGACAATATTTTTGCTGTTATCATTGTTTATGTGCTCTACTACAACTTCTGACTGAAATTCAGTAGTAGATACTTCCTGCAAAGTTAAATAATTTTCTGTGTTTTCTTCATCTTGAACGGTTTCTATCTGTGTTTCTGGTGTAAATTATTTTGTATCCTCTTTAGATATTTCACCAAAACCAGCAGTCGGCACAGAAGTTGTGTCTGTTGTAACTTCTTGATTATAGATTAAGTCTTCTTCTATATTATATATTTAAAAATTTTCTGGCATTGTATCTTTCATTATTTCATGTCCATTGTCATTCTCCTTACAACTCTCATTATCTGGTATTTTTAATATTTCATCCATATTTTCTTCTGTTATCCCGTTGGATATCGCAGCAAGAAATTCTTGTGGTATCTTAGAACCTAAGCCTAATTTTGGTGGCTGACCAAACATAGCTTTGTATGGTTCCATTTTTATAGCATTATGATAAGTTGTGTTAATACCCCATTGCACAAATTTTAGGCCCAACGACCAAGAAGAAGTCTTATTGTCACGCATCCAAGCCACTAATGCATTTTTTACAGTAGCGTTTGCTCTTTCCACACTTCCTTTACTTTGTGGATTCCGTGGCCTCCCATTCACAAGAACTAAGGTAGGCCAGAGAGTCCCTAACTCCTTGATTATATTTGCAGTAAACTCTTTACCGCTATCGGATTGTAGAACAGTCGGAGCTCCAAAATCCAAAAAAATGTTTAAAATTTCTTTGGCTACTTCAACAGCACGTTTACATATTAGCGGTCTTAAAATACTATATTTTGTTAAATGTTCCTTATAGTGCAAAATAAATTTGTATTGACCATCAGGCAAACTTTGGTAATCAATTAAGTCGATTTGTGCTCTGGAATTAAGATCTTTACTTATTATGGGTCTAACAACAATTCCTGTACTGTATACTTTTTTTGTTTTCTCTGTACACCTCTCGCACTGTTCAATAAACTGTTTTATTATAACCATTGGTATATTAGCATAATGTTCTGCAACTTTTTTGTAGTTTTTTTTCTCTCCTTTATGTCCACAAGCGGTATGCAAATCTCGAATGATTTGCCATGCATTTGTTTTGGTAGTCATTATTTTATTGTCTTTTTTTCAAACTTTTCTAGCTTGAACGAACTTTTAATATGGTAGTACTCTCTGTTTTTAGTGACACTTTCACAACCTTGCAAAATTCGGATTACTTTTTTTTTCGTATTCCTCACTCCACATCTTACTATTTATACCGGTTTCAGTCATGTTTAAATGTCGCAACACATTAATATAAAGTAAAAAATCTGTTATAGCTTACGTCGCTCAAAACTCAAAATAATACAATATACAAATATAATAATTTCAATTAAACATGAACATAACCTCCAATTTTTATAATTTTCATTTGTTATCGTGCGCTGGTTGCCTATTTCAAATAATCGGCAAAAGATTATATGCCCAGTTCATGTATTGGGACATTATTTTGCCTATTACATGAAATGCGCAGCGATGCTGCCTATTTCGCGAATTCGGCAAAAATTTGCTAAATTTATGAAATCGGCAATTACACAAATTCGGCTTAACATATACAAGGGTATAGGAAATCTCGGCGCAGCGGCGGCTGTCGGCCAGCGCGCGCAAAAACCATTACATCGCTAATTGTTTATTGATATATCTTTATTAGTTTAAAAGCAAAAAATATGGGGTTTGCTTTGATACCTTGTCAAGACATAAGCGAAACTTTTAAATTGTTTCTTTTTTTCATTTAGGCCTTCGTTTTTCGTTAAATGAAAGTTATATTAGAAAAAATCTATTTTTAAACCAAATTTTCGCATGATTGAAATGATTATTCATGTTTAAAGTTTTTTTTGGTCATAAGCGCTAATGGAAATGTTTGGTTTGGTTTGGTTTGGTTAAGTTTGGTTTGGTTTGGTTCGATTAATAGCCTAAATATATATATATATATATATATATATATATATATATATATATATATATATATATATATATATATATATATATATATATAATTTCAGCCCGATCCATTCATAAATAGAATTTTAAAAAATCAAAAACCTCAAAAATGCCGCCATTTTGACAGCTGTCAAAAATTCGGGTCATGCCTTGCAAAAAAATGTATTATCATCGGGACTGAACCTACATGCCAAATTTCAATCTCCTACAATAAAAGAAAGTGGTTTTAATTTAGCTTACAAGATTTGCCCCGAACAAACATACATACATACATAGATAGTTACATACAAAGCAAGTTAAATAAAAGCTTATAAAACTAGCCTCCAATGAGGAAACTAAATAAAAAAATGGTCACTTGGCATTAGCAAGCCTCCAAATAAGTAGTCTTCATCGTTTTGAAAAGCACTAAAGTGTGAATATACTTTTGAATTGAACATTAATTTTGAATTGAATTGAAAATTAAACAGACTATATTTTGAATTATTTCCATAATTATTTGTGCAACCAGCAGCCGCACATCCCGGAAAACCTTTTCCCATTCCATCAATAAAAATAAAATTGAAATAAAAGCACAAATACCTATGGTTAAATATAAGAAAAAAAAAGTCGAATTAAAATCTTCCGTAATACGGCCCTACGCGCCACCGGTGGAGGCTATGCATCGACTGAATGAGGCTGACTGTCGGTCGCTTAATTCAGTTAGCGCATCGTCGGAGTGGGACGTTTTAAATTCGAGCGTGGGAAAAATTGGCGAGTGTCAAAGCTATGTTATTCTGTAAGCTGTGACTCTTCCTTCGGCCAGGGTCACGACGCCGCCGAAGAGGAATCGGCCTACGTTTGGCTAAACAGGCTGGACACGGTGGAGTACGATATTGGCGAGTCTGAATATTTATAAAAATTTGCAAAGTAAAATATGTTGGAAAAATAATTAATCCATACATATATAAAAGCTCAAAGGGTTTTTTTGTTGCATCCATCCCGCCGAAACCGCTTTACCAATCTTGATGATTCTTTTTTAAATGAAAGGTATATATGTGTAGATTTGTTATGAAGTATTTTTATAGTGCTTAATGGCTATTTCTTTGTGTAAAACGACTAAATACTAAAACATACCTGAAAAACGCCTACACACAATACCTCCAGAAATAAATTATTTGTCATTGTCAGTGGTGTGTCAGTTAGATTGTATATTACGTTTTTAGATATTTTAGAGTGAGTTCATGCCGCCAGCTTTAGATACATAAATATTAGCACAAAGGTTCGTTTAAACGACATTAGTGAAATAGCTACACAAAGCGATTTTAGGAAATTCATCCTCTTAGAGAGTAAAATTATCTCGGAACAGTTTGTTGTATGGAAATTCCTTACTATTTGGTCTAGAAGAATGAAATCCTACAAAAAGAATTAGAAGAAATTTTTGAAATTCATCAACCAAATGGGTAAAGTTAGTAAAAAATTATATAAAACTTGGTGACCTCTGGATTATACACATAAAAATTGGCACAAAGGTAAAGCGAATTTATGAAATTTATACCCTTAGGGACTAGAATAGGGAATGAAAGTTTGCTGTACGAAAATGCTATACTATAACATTATAAACCAGATAGTAGAAAATTTTATACAAGGGTTTATTTAGTGACATCATAACGAAATATATCTTCCTCAATTATCCTTCAAAGAATAAAAAATAACCTATAAAGAGAGTATTAGTGCTTTTAATAAATAAAAAAAAGATGAAAAATAAAAAACATCTATGCTCACTAGCTCTCTATAAAGAAGTAAAAAATCATTTAAATCAATGCATGAACGATTCGAGGTGTAAAAAAAGCTAGCAATTTATTAAATTATTTTATTTAACTCATTAATTTTCATTGAAAAGGAATTTTTGTAATTCGCCACTATATTAGTTAAAAACTAAGAAACTCATATCAAATTTAAGTTTTGCGATTTTGACTTATACTTTTTACAAAATCTGAACACATTTTAAAAGAAAAAAAGTTTTTGATAATATTTGTTTAGATTGACTACAAGTGGTATAACATAAATTTCTACGACCGGTCTACCTAGTGGTTTGATGATCTGTGACGTGACGCACAATAGCCAAGAAAAACAGAAGCGTGGCTAAGAATTTAGTAATTTAAAAAAAGTCTTTTAGATACAGTAGCAGGTATTAAAAAGTGTTGTGTTTAAATGGGGTTTGCCTTTAACAGTTAAAAAATTATATCGTAAAGTGTAACTTTCCGTAAGAATTCTTTATCTGTCATTGATCATGATCTGTCATCATGTTAACCTGATGTTTTGTATGTTATTTTGTTTTTTTCGAGGTTTTTTTTGCTTGCTTGTTTTACGGATAGGTGCGATCACGTAATTATTATTGATAATGTTTTATTTAATGTTAACACCACTACTTTTTCAGTGAATCTTTAAATCTGTTGTTATTTGTTAAGTTCGTTATTTAAACATATGTATGTAATACACTCATATTAACACTAATCATATTTTTAAGTTCTTATTCATCATTTTCAATGCCCCCCCGGTTGCATCTTTGTAAAGGACTGTGAATTTTTTCTAACGAAAGGAATGTCAAAGAAAATCTTACCAAAACTATAGATCCATTAAAATCTCAACAATCAAAAACTATATGGGACCTTCATCCATCTCTAGGTTAACAAAATCACAATATTTTTACCATATTGTGAAAAATACCAGCCAAATAAAGTTTTCTCAAAAATGGCACGGTGACCTCGGCAACGGCCAAATCCGAGGTGACGATTTTGACGTTTTCCGTCTTGTCGATACACCAGGGTTCGATCCAATACTTTCGATAGAGAGCGTTCTGAAATTCAAGCGTTGTAGAAATTTAAAGAAAATATCGATATAATAATAAAAATCCGTCTATAATAAAACAAAGTAGCATTTGGAAAATGAAAATGCTACAGTAGTACATATAAATACGTAACTTTGCTATCGGTGAAATGCCAATTTGGAACTAGAATAGTCCACTTTTTGCAAACAAAGCACTGGCGGACCTTCTTAAATATTTAAAAATATTTTAAGCAGTAAAAATTATTTGAAAACACAAAAGTTTAAAAGCGCCGCCCAGCAACACTGTTAAACATAACTTGAATGAATCCACCAAACTTTTACTATTCATCGTAAAAATCATAGAAAACGTGTATGCCCCTTCCTAAAGCAGTGATATCACAGTTACTTCCCTAGTATATCTTAATTTAATTTAATTAGAAAACTAAAAATAATTTCCAAGCTAAAATCTATGTATTTTAACTATAAAATGTTATACCTATTTCAGCGCGAGGCCTCAGTGATTCCTTTCGTAAAATATCAATTTCATCAATAGCCCCATAATTCCATAAAGTGCTCTTAAGAGAATCCTTTCAAGAAAGAGCACGAAAAGGAAACTATCACTATACATCAGACGTCATTTTATGCGGCATATACCCCATCGATTTTCGAATAGAACAAATTATTAATGTAGTCAATATAAAGGATTCAACAACCTAAAATATTATTATTTATTAATAGCAGCCTTCAACGATAATAGATAATAGGAGTAGAAGTAATACAGCAAGAAATAGAATATTATGTTAAAAATTGAAAAACTAATAGTTACAAAGTAGAGTATAAGCCAACAAAATCTATTATATATGTGTGTTTGGTTTCTGTGTTCGAGAACTGTGTTCGAGAAGCTACTATTTCAAAAAGTCGCCATATATATTTTATATTTATATTAATTCAGAGTTTTTAGAGACCACAGAAACTACATTACCTAGATATTACTAATGCTAAACAGGTACAATAATTCTAAAGCCGACAAGTACGTCGACGGCAAGTGTGTCGGCCCGCTGGCGCTGCTACAGAAATGATAGCCATTACTAAAATACAATTATAATACAAACTAATACAATGTAATCCGGTATATTTCAATAAATACATTACAAAATTAAATCTCTAATCATTTAAGTAAAGACAAAGGCCGTTTAAAGTAGTCTGGTTCAAAAGAAACTTATTGTTTACAAATCATTCACGCTTAGCTTAAAAGCATACTAAACTCATTCTTTAATCCGCTTTAAATTTTAATTGCTTCTAATCTTTCAATTAATTTCCATTTA